ATAGAGAAATATTTAGATTCACTTCACATTTTCTCTTCTGTGTTTACTTTTCTACTGCTTGTGTCGTTTGCGTCCATAAAAATGTAAACGCGGTACGTCACTTTGGAATTCATATTTTATGTGCAAACTGAAATTTTAGCAAATTGTGCAAAAAATCTTTTTTGTAAGATTGTATATTTAGACAAATTTTAATCTGAATAGTTCATTCAAACTTTTTTATTCTTTAATCTAGTCAATGTTTTGAGGCCTTTTCCGTAAATTTTGACAAGGCTTTTTTGAGGTCAAGCCGTAACTTTCTTAGAAGTCAAGTCTCTAGTTTGAACTGGAATTATCTTGTTTTAAAATATTTCGTAAAAAAAAATTTAAGTTTGTATAAAAATTCTTAAATAATATTGGCTAATATTGACGTGGTAACAAAAAAAAAAAAAAATCAACGTCGTTTTAAATGTATTAAAAGTTTGTCTTAAAAAAATGTCCAAAAAAATCAACCGCTCAATATATATAAAACTAATGACATCAGCTCAGACTTCAAAAACATTTTGGTTATATTTGAATTTGTCATTAGAGAATTTTATTTAAAAAGTTTTTTTAAAGGGTCATACTTTAAGAATGATGCTATAAAAGCTCGTTGTTCATGAGTTTAAAGATAAGAATTTCGACGGCACTCAAAATTTAAAGTCTTGATCAGATTGATTTATATTTGTATTTAGAGTTAATATATCAAATTTTTTTTTTTTTTATAATCTTATTTGTTTTTTTTCAAAAATGGGAACGAGCACTTTAATCAACAAAGGTTTTAAAAATTTAAACTTTGACCCTTTTCTAGAGGATATTAATGATAACCTATCAAATAATAACTTGAATATTTTTCAATAAATTCAAATGAACTTAATTAACACACCACATTTTAATCCTTTTGACTTCAAAGTAACAAAAGATCATAGTTCATTTTCTTTATTGCACTTAAACATTACTTATTTTTATTTAGATTTATTAAACACCCACTATACAAGTAAGGTAAATTAAGAGTTTCATACAAGATAAATATAAAAAGTCTTGGAAATTTTATTTATTTTTTCTTTTTTTTTCAACGTGATCATCTTGGAATATGTTTTTCAAGAATGTCCTTGAAGATAGTTCTCTGCTCTTTTAAGTTCCAGTACTCAACTGCACATTTTAGAGACTGAAGATCCGTTTCAGGAATTAAATTTTTGAGGCCGACAATTTTTATTTTTTTTTACTTTCCATTATTGTCTCCAGATTTAGTTCATGATTATTGCACAACCCTTTGATACTATCTAAAAAATGTTGTGGGGTTGTTTTGTTTTTCAGCTGCGACCTAATAATATCATATGTCATTTTATTTTTTATCAAACGAATAAATAAGTTTAGCTTGTTTTGTTGTATAATAATTGATATATCTTTAATAGAAAATAAGGTATGAATATAATTTTTGCTATGTTTTGAAACATCGAGGAGTGACTTAAGTGCATTTTTTCCAACTATATCAAGCTTTTGCATTAACATTTTTTTATGTTCACACAGCTCAAGACCATACGTTAGTGTTGGAACAGCTAAAGTTTTATATAACTGAACAATGGAGTTTGGGTGAGCAAAACGGATTCCTGATTGAATTAAGGTTTGGATTACCGTCCGGAAATTAGATATTCGGTGATCAATGTTTGATTTATTAAGTGAGGCAAAAGGGGAACTTTTTGTATCCCATCTAAAGCCTAGATGACTAAGTTTATCATGAAGTTTTATTTGTTTGTGGTTGAGAGTTATTGTGCAGTTTTTAATTTGCTTTTTTCCGGTGAGCAGGAACTCGGTTTTGTCAGCATTCAATTTTATGCAGTTTTTGTGTGTGTACATATTACATATATTAATAGGCTTTTGTAGGCTAGAGAGGGTGGAGCTAAGGAGTATAATATCATCAGCATATGCTACAACACCCGTATAGTTTCCATTGATTGATGTACCTACGACGCTTTCGTTTTGTAAGGTTTCTAGTTGGTTTTGAGTATAAATGTTATACAAATGAGGCGAGAGAATAGATCCCTGTCTCACTCCTTGTGTTAGATAGAAAGGATATGATTTGCAATCTAGATAAGAAACAGAAGCACTGCTTTCATAGTATAATGATGATATGGTATTAACAATATACAGAGGGAGTTTTTTATCATTGTACAGTTTCTCAAACAGAATGTCCCAATTGCAGCTGTCAAACGCTTTTTCAGCATCTAGGGAACAGAGATAGACAGGTGAGTTGTTGTTGTTGTAGTGTTTAATTGTTTCACTAATAACAAATTCAGCGTGTAGGGTTGAGCTATTTTTAGTGAAACCGAATTGAAGAGGATGAGTTTTTTTTATTTCTGGACAGATTAGTAGGATAAGATATTCTATTAGTTTTGTAAAGATTGGAATGATGCTAATGCCGCGGTAGTTATTTGGATCAGTTAAAGATTTCTTATACGATTTAGTAAGTGGTATTATAAGTGATGTAGACATCGATTTTGGGGTCTGTCCATGATTAATAGAAAAGTTAAAAAATTTTCTGAGCCATTTTGTTAGTGCTTCACAGCTCGCATTCTTTAAATGTTCAGCTGATATTCCGAAGTCGTCTTTGGATTTGTTTAATTTAAGGCGAGAAATAACCGTTTTTATATTTTCATCCGATATTATTACCTCATCGAATTTTGTGCAAGGTGGAATTTTTAAATTTGTAGAGGTATATGTGTTTGCTTTAGAGTTTAATCGATTTTCAAAACTGTAGGCAAATTCTTTCGTGATCGAGTCTTTATCTTTTTTATTATTTATGATATACAATTTCGAATTTGCATCTTTTTTTATATTTCTGAAAGTTTTCCAAAAATATTTTGGATTTGTATTTTTTAACGTTTCGATTTTTATGTATTCTTTGTACAGTTTTTTATTTTGAGCATTTTTTACTGCATTGCGGAAATTTTTTCGTGCCATCCGGTATTGAATAAAAATTTGCGAGTTTAAGTTTTTAACGAACCCAGTTTCCCGCCATTTTTAAAACAAAATGAAAGAACATTTTTACTACGGCTTAATTCGGGTGTCCACCAGGGTTTTGAATACAATGACGGTGTTTTCATGGATAAATATTGATTAAGTGCCTCAGATGCCGACTTTGTAATAACAGTATATACTTTGATAAGTTACTCATCGTAATTGTGATTCGTAAAATTATGAAAATTAAAATTAGTATTTAAGCGATTGTTATATAATTGTAAAAAATCATTGTTATTCCAGGCATAATTTGGAATACTGTACTTGTCTGAGTTTTTATGATTGTTTTCTTGAGAAGATTTTCCAATAATTCCAACTTCAATCGATACTGGTAAATGATCACTCATGTTTTGAGATAAAAAAGGAATTACGAAACAATTGGAATAAAGAAGAGACGTATACTTTGAGAAAGCTATGTGATCTATGTAAGATGCGTTTGGTAATGTACTATGGTGATACGTTATGTTAGGTCCAGAGCCTTTTGTTACGTCCACTAATTCAAGTTTATTCGACTTAATAAAATTTAATAAAACTACGGAGTAGTTATTTTTCGTAGAGCTAGCTCTCTTTAATGAATCATATATTCCGTGAGGAAAAGATTGAAAAAGTCACCAAGGACAATAAATTCAGCAACGCCCTCGTAGTTATTAATAACACCTGAAATTATATCCAACTGACTCTTGTAATCCTCCAGTGATGTTTGATTATTGCGCGACGATTAAAGATAAATGCCAATAATAATAATATTAGTCTGATTTTTTTTAAGATTTATTGCGAAGATATGATCATCTTCATATAGAATAATAATGTTTTGAAACAAATGTTTCCGAATAAAAAAAGCGTTTCCGCCAAACGGTCGACCCTGCTCATGTTTGTTAGCCTGGTGGAAGAATGAAGAGTGGGTATTTTTATAAATATTTTTTATTATGAAATATTCTAAATTCGATAACCAGTGTTCACATATAAAAGTTATGTCATGAGAGAGAATCAACGATTTGGTATACTCAAAATTAGACTTTAGACCGTGGCAGTTGAAAGTACATAGATTAAATGTTGTTGGAAGTTTATCTTCTTTAAAAATTTTCCCTAAATCCATTTTGATCTATGAAAATCTTCCTGGTTTCCGTTAGTTTCCAGATTTTGAGATATGTTAGTATATAAACGTTTTTTTCAGTATGGTTTAACTATTATATTGCTATCCCATAAAGCAGGATTAAATATTATATTTTTTTCTGTGTTGTTTACTGTAACTTTGTATGATCTATTGTATTCATTTTCTTTATTCAATATAACAGATAAGGGGGATATTCCTATTTCTGTTTCTAGATAGTTTTTAAAAAGTTCTTCATTGATTTGATTACTTACCCCTCCGACAAAAGTGTCAAATTTACGAACTATTCTTTCACCTGCAATTGTTTTATTATCAGAAATTTTTGTTCCGAACACTCCCAGCCGGCACGGGGACGTACAACAAACATACAATGAACGTTCAGACGGAACGTCTTAGACGCGTTCAAAACATATCAATGTATAGACGCTCAAGGACGTCCTATTCGGACGTTCAAAAGACGTCCTATTCGGACGTTCAAAAGACGTCATATAGTGACCTAAATAAGACGTTCTAGTTAAGTTCAGTTTTCTGGAAATAGGCACGCGTTCTATAATAGTTCTAAATAATTAATTAAGCGATATCAGGATTACTTGTACGCATATGGAAATTAAGTTCCATAGGCGTACAAGTATCGCTCTAGCGGTATCAGTTCGATATCTATTCTAAAATAAATGCTGGAGCATTTGTTTTAGAATAGATATCTTTTGAACGTACAAATTAGGTTCTGAATGTTTTAAATACGCTAAATAATGCATGATTTAGCAGTTACAGAAATTTGAAAGGTTCATGATTTTAAGGTTGAAAAGATAATGGAAACGGGAGCAGTTTCGCCTTAATACACGATTTGAATACACAATTAAAAGTACACACAATCTACAAAATATTTCAGTCTACAGATTTTAAAAAATGTCTTGAATACTGTCATTGTCGTTGCTTTCTTTTTCACGACCACCACCGCCTTTTCTGTCCGGCGCTCTTTTTAGGACATTACCAATACACTTTTCGATTTCATTTCCAGTATACTTGGGCATGGCCTCTGTGAAAAAAAAAAGTAACATAAGAAAGTTTAGAACAATAGTTCATGTTAGCCCTCACACACTTAATTAAATATTAACAACAAAAACCTGTTTATGATATATGCATGATACAGTATAGTTTCAACACTGAAACTAATAAGTCAAATTATATTATAAAACTAAAAACCCAAGTTAAGTTAAAAAAATAAATTATATCTATGTACCAACAATGATCTTTATCAAATTTGTCTTGCGAAATGGCATCTTCTTCCCTGTACCATCCAAATTAAAATTTGACATTAACTTGTTTGTCGTTAGTCTAGGTAGTAAATAGAATAATTAAGTAATATATAGCATAAGTTTAAGTATATAATCATAGCGTACAGCTGGCTGAAGAAATGTTATCATGTCAGCTATGAACTTGTGTTATTCCTTTCATATATTTAATGTAGATCATAATTTTGCAGACAAAAAATATAATTAGAAAAATAAGCAATGAAATATTTTCCAGATACATACTTTAAAAGAATTGCTTTAACATTTGCGTAGCATGTGACACCACCTATTTTGGAAAGTTGGGTTCTCTAAAAAAAAATTCAATTATTCATTGATAAGGATGAATGATAGAATTTGAATTTCATATATGAAACATGTTAGGGTAACTTGTGTTTAAAATTCCTTATTTGATTCCAAAAATCAACAAAAGTTCTATAACAGCAAAATCTGGAAATTGCACCTATATATAATTAAACTAAAACTTACTAAACTAGTATATTGACAATTTACATTCAATCCATTATCAAACTCCTGAAAATGTTCCAAATCAGACATTTGATATATAAAATATGGTAAATCAGGTAACTTATCGTGGTTGCCTTGTTTCTTAGTTTCCTGTAAAATCCCTTCTAATTTGTGAAGAACTTTATACTAAAATTCTGTAGAATTGAAAAAAAAAAATCAATATAACCAGAATAAAAGAAAAATGTCATTTCAAAACTTTTGCTTTACATCATCTTTATATATGAAAAAATTAATATTTATTAAAACTAATATAAAAACATTCAACATATATAAGAACAACATTGCAATATTGTTAGGCATAATGTAAGAACTTTTAAATATAAATTCTTGCATACTTGCTTCAGTTAATGGAAACTTGTTTAATGCTATATTCAAATTTTTTGTTCTTTCTTGCTGATCCCTTTTTGAAACAGTTGTTTTAAATGGAGAATTTAGCTGCGATAACAAGGATGTCCTTAAAATTCTCCGAGGTATTTTTGATTGTAGTGGATGTTGATGAATTGGGTGTAAAATTACAGGAGAAATGGTATTTTCCTGATTGGTAGAAGATAAAAAGAATGAGGATTGTGATGCAGTTGGGGACAAAGAATGAATCAAAGCAATAGGAGTTTTAAACGGTTGTTGGTATTGTGATTGTGCAATAGGAGAAACACATTTTCTTTTAGCAGCAATTGGAACTAAAATATATAAACATAGTAAAATATTATGTACAATATGTTTGCAATATGCTTAATTTAAAAAAAATAATTACTTTTGCGCTTTTTTAGATTATGCAACTCTTCATTTTCTTCGTCAGATGTGAAATCAAAGCCATCACATAAACTTTTGTCATCTATAAAGGAAAGTAAAATAACTTCATATAAAAAGAACATAAAAGCCAAAAAATATTCCAATAAAAAATAGTAATATTACCTGATTGAATCTTAACTTTTATAATTGGATATTTGATCCAGTCGTCCTTCGGTGGCCATTGCTGCAAACAAGCTCGAACAACATTAATGCCTATTGGCCAACAAACATTGTTTTCTATAATCCAGGTGGTAGGAATGGTCATTTCTTCTTCCCTTAATGACTCCTTCCATACCACTCTTGACCATGACATAATTTTAACTTTTAATACTTAAAAAATAACAATAAATAAACATAGATCGAAGTAGAATCAAAATAAACATCAGACATTATTGTGCAACTGCAATAAACTCGATATCAAACTATAATAATATATAATAAACAACATAATGGCAAATTAATGTTAAATTAATGCACAAATTATTAAGTATCAAAGTATATACAGACCTTGTTTTAAAGCATTAAGCAATTTTCGTACTTCTTAAGCAATTTTAAGCAATTTTTTCTTAATTATTCTAATTATATTAAATAAAAAATAAAAATTGCTTGACCTCACAAAAAAGGTTGAGAAAAGAAGACAAAAAAAAAAAAAGTTCAAAACAAGGCCTGAATATATATATATATATATATATATATATATATATAATATATATATATATATATATATATATATATATATATATATATATATATATATATATATATATATATATATGTATATATATATTGTGTAACTACAGCTATTTATACAAAATAAGTTTTGATATAATTTATTATCTATATAAATATTTATTAAATCACTTTTTTAGTGAATCATATAAAAATACATTTACTAAATGTATTTTAAAATATAAAATTTAAAAAATATATTATTTGCAATATCTTCAAAAAAATTAAAACTTACTATTAAATTGACTTCAAAGCAACTCCTTGTGAAACATTTGGGTATTAACATTTTTATGGAATTAGTTTTAATTTGAGATAAAAAAAAATGGCGTGCGGTTTAACAACTACCAAAATTAAAAACTATACATAGTTAACCATCAAAAATAAAAATATAGCAAGTCGTTATAAACCGAGAATTACAATTTTGTTTAGTTGCTTGTTTGACCTGTTTTTTTATCTAATCACATCACGCTTTCCAAATATAATTAAGACGTCTTTCAAACGTCCTACGCAAGTCTGAAATATTTTCATTGGTTCAGAAAAGGTTCTAGGACGTCCGAGACGCAAACTGAACGTACATTGTACGTTTTTTGTGCCGGCTGGGCTGGCTCTGAAATTCTATGTTTTTTTACTAATGAACGATTTTCTGTTTTTTGATTAGATTTACTATTTCGGCACACTAAAGTAAAATTATTTTCATCATTGTTCGTGTTTGATGCGTGTAGTTGTTGATCGATATTGGTTTTTTTTATTTATTTTTGTGGTCAACATGGCGTCGATTTGTGGTTGATTTGTGATTGAGTGAGTTTGAGCTACTACATGTTTTTAATAGTTGCGGTTTGTATTCAACGTTTAAAGAAGACTCATGCGTTGTTTGAGTTAGATTTTTTGTAGCAGCTGGGTTGTTAATTTTATTTTCACATTGCGTATAACCATCGATCTTTAATTTCGGTATTTGACACGGCTGTAAGAGACTTATATCCAGTTCCGATTGTCTGTTTTCTATCTTAAGTTTTTCAATAAGTTTATTTTGGAAAATTATTTTTTCTTTCAAAAGTATGAGTTCTTTTTTTATTTCTTTATTTTCTTTTTGAATTTCCTTTGAGATATGTAACAACTCCTTTACGGATTTAGTTAAAAGTTTGTCGTTGGGCAGAGTGTCCACATTTTTTGTTGAGATAATTACCTTAACAATTTCTTTATGAAGTTGTTTTTCACATAATGTGATTGAAAGTATATAAATATCTTCTAAACATAAACTTGTTTTGTATCTTTTACGAAGATTCTTTTCAACAGGATTTGTAAGGTCTAGAGTTATGTTCGCCTCACTAAATTCATCTGCACAAAATGTCTCAACGATTTCAGCAAATAGTCGTTCTCGAAGGTTTCGAATTGAGTTTTCTGAGATTGAGTTCATGCTTGCGATAACTAAGTCTTTCGGATGAGAACAAATTTCCTCAATATTTTTCAAAAAATTTTCTTCAAATGTATAAATGTCACACTTTAAATAGATAAACATCTCCTCGATTGAACGTGGTGCCATATTGTTTTTATTGACAAATTCTTTTTCAATTTCAAGTTTTATAAATAAAGAACCATGTCATATATAATAAAAAAATAAAAAAAAAAACTTTATTTATTATCAGTTATTTTTTCTCTTTAAAAAACACGTCTTTCTCTCTTGCGTATACTTTGCGTAAAAACTAGAATTTTAGAAGCATGCAGCAAAATATTGACAAATTGAAAGAATTTTCAAGGATTGTAAATTATGCGTTTGATGTCATAGCTCTTACAGAGACTTGGCACGATACAGAAAGTTATATTGAGTTGAACATATCTATAAACTGCCATCTTATAATTTAATTAGTCAACCAAGAGCCAGCGGAAAAAAAGGCGGAGGATTAGGGGTCTATGTCTCCGATAAATTTACTTATAAAATAAAAAATTTTACATAGTCTCTCAAATACCAACTATGAAAGTCTTTTCATCGAAATTATTAACAATAAATGTAAAAATATATTAGTAGGATGTATTTATCGTCCACCAAATGGTAAAATTAAACCATTCAAAAATTTTATTAAAAAAACTATTATAAAAATTAATAAAGAAAATAAAAGCCTGTTTATTATTGAAGACATGAACCTAGATGCTCTAACTTACCAAAAATTTCCTAAAACAAAATCATTCTTTGATATGCTCTTTAAATTCAATGTCTTATCAATTATTAATAAACCCGCACGTGTTACAAAAAATTCAGCAACTGCAATTGACAATATTTTCATTAATAATTACCTAGAAACAACATTTGAATCCGGAATATTCCAGACAGATATAAGTGACAACTTTCCTATTTTCTTAAAAGTAAACTATTTAAAAACTGCGTCCGACAGTCAACCAAATGTTATCAATTTGAAAAAACGTATCCTAAAAATAAGCAATACTAATGAATTAACATGTAAATTAAAACAAGGAACGTGGAGAAGTGTATATAAATGTCAAGATACTAACGAGGCTTTTAACAATTTTTTAAGTACATTATAGAAGCACTTCAATGAAACCTGCCCATACGAGGATATAAAAGTTAAGGCGAAAACACTAGCTAATCCGTGGACGAATAAATCGCTGTTAAAATATTCTAAAAAAAAGCAAAAATTGTATAATAAATTCCTAAAAAATAAAAACACTGTAACGAAAAAAATTACAAAAAATATAAAAACTTTTACCAAGCACTAATTAAATTTGCAAAAAAAAAGCTATTACAGTACGCTAATTTCCAAATTCAAATTTAATAGTAAAAAAACATGGTCCATAATTAATAATATAATTGGTAAAGATAAAAACATTGCATCTTTACTAATAAAAAGAATTAATATTGATAACACTGATATGAAATGAAAACTTAATAACAAAAGAGTTCAACAAGTATTTTACAAATGTTGGCCCAAATCTTGCCAATAAGATAACACCAACATTAGAATCATTTAAAACCTACCTAAAACCCTCTAATGACAAAATATTGTATGACAATGAATTAAGCTTTAAAGAATTTGAAACAGCATTCTCTTCTTTAAAAAAAAAAAAAAATTCCCAGGATTTGATGAAATACCTAGCAACATAGTTATTTTTAACAAAACTAGCTTAAGCAAACCTTTATTTCATATACTAAAACTCTCATTAAAGCTTGGTGTTTTCCCTGATGCTCTTAAAATAGCTAAAATAATCCCAATTTACAAAGGTAACGATCATTCGAACATTACAAATTATAGACCTATATCTTTACTTTCTGTATTCTCAAAATTGTTTGAACGGGTAATTTATAATAGAATATTCGAATATTTCACTAAAAATAACTTATTCTACCCAAAACAATTCGGATTTCAAAAAAATCAATCGACTGAGCATGCAATTATTGAAATAGTCAACCAAATAACTGAAGGGTTTGACAATAACAAATTTACTTTAGGAGTATTTATAAATTTATCTAAAGCATTCGACACAGTTGACATTTGCATTCTCTTTCAAAAATTTAAGCATTATGGTATAATTAGTACAACCTATTTCTAGATTAAAAGTTTTCTTACCAATAGAAAGCAATATGTTCATAATGTGCAATCCGGAATATTAAATGTCGTTTGCGGAGTTCCACAAGGATCAATCCTTGGTCCGCTCTTATTCTTAATCTATATTAACGACTTTTGTAATACATCATTAAAACTGAACTCAATAATGTTTGCAGACGATAGTAATTTATTTCTTACCAATAATCATATTAAACATCTTTATACAGATATGAACATAGAATTGAATAAAGTAAATAGTTGGTTTAAAGCTAACAGACTCACACTTAATGTTGAGAAAACCAACTATACTCTATCCCATAAAAAAACACAAGAATTAAACATTCCTCTTAAATTGCGCGAACTGTTTTTTATGGAAAAACTGTATTAAAAACTTTAATAAAGAACACTACACTTTAAAAAAATTTAAAACAGTTTCTAAAAGAGTATTACTTCAATTAGATTTTAATTCAATAGACTTTAACTATTTTTTTTAAAAGGTAATTTTAAAATAGAAAAAACGCTTCCATTAGCACTAAATATATTTTGTTATATGTATCAAATATATTTGTATTAGTATACAAAACTTTCTTTATTTTTAAATTTTAATATAAATGTCATTTTATTATTTGACAAAAGTTATGTACTCTTTAACATTTTTTTGTATATTTTATTTATATTTGTTTATAAACACGGGCAATTTGTAAACGGGGATTGGCGATAAAACAGTCATTGTCTTCTTCTTGCTCCGGCCAATTTTTATAAATGTAATATGTCTATATTGTAAATATATGAAACGGCAAAAAAAAAAAAAAAAAAAACTGTACTTAAATGATACAATAATTAAAAAACAAGCAAGTATAAAATTCCTTGGAATCCTTGTCGATAAAAATTTATCCTGGCTTCCCCATATAAATTACATACATTCAAAAGTTACCAAAACTATTGGCGTAATGTATAGGGTTAGACCATACGTCAATATGTTAAGTCTCAAATTAATCTACTTTGGACTGATACACTGTTTTATTAATTATGCAAATATATCATGGGCAAGTACGCAAACTTCAAAACTTCAAAAAATTTAGAGGCTCCAAAAACATCTTGCCGTATTATATACTGTAAACATAAACGTGAACATGCAAAACCTTCTATGAGAGATATGAAAATGATGGATATATTTTAAATAAATACTTAACAGCATCTAATTTTTATGTATAGATACTATAATAACCTCTTGCCAGTAAACTTCAAAGATAAGTTTAAAATAAATTCAAATGAAAAGTATTGTCTAAGATCAAATAGAAATAAAAACTTTAATTTGCCTCGAATATGTAATAAACTCTCAGAATTTTGTATATCTTATCGAGGACCTAAATTATGGAATGACTGTCAAAAGGAATTTAAATTTATGGTGAAGTCTTTAAACTCATTTAAGTTTCAATTAAAAAAAGAAATTTTTAACTTTAAATAAAGTTATTTTCTTTTTACTTTTTTGATTAATTTAACCTTGTCTTGACTTTTTAATGATAACATTGTTATTATTATATTTTTATACGAGCTATTTATTCTTACGTTGTTTTATTTAAACTTGTACCTAGGGGTTCTATGAAAAGATTGCGATAACGTAATGTTATCCTTATCTTCTTTGAGCCCCTATCTGATTTAACTTAATTTTGTTGTAATGTATATACTTTTATATTTTATTTTATGAGATTCCATATGTATACGTGCATTTATAATAATATTATACGATGTTAATCAGAAA